CAGAGCGTACCACAGTGCTTCCACTGTCAGGGGTACGGGCACACTGCCATAAAATGCACGCAAGAACTACCCAGGTGCAGACATTGTGCAGGATTGCACGACAGCAGGCAATGCAAGGAGCCCCAGAGGACAACCTGCACCAATTGTAAAGGCGACCATAAGGCGWCAAGTTCAACCTGCACCCACAGAGTAAGAGCAATTAAAAGTCTCCTAAGGCGGACAGACTTTGGCCCGAAATGATTGACCAAATAAAGATAATCCAGCATAACATCTGCAAGAGCAGGATTGCCTCCTTGCAGCTGAGAGACCACTGTATCGGCAACGGGGTTGACTTAGTACTACTACAGGAACCACTAATACAACAAGGAAAGGTCTATGCGTTCGAAAGCTACAAACAAGCGCACAAAGGTGACCGCGCCGGGGCAGCCATCATCATCCTAAATGATGAACTGCGAGCATTAGAACTTGCACAATATGTGAGCGACCATGTAGTGACAATCAGAGTCAGCCGACTCAATAGCAGGCACGCAGTAACAGTGGTGTCGGCATATTTTAAGTACAACATGCCGACACCCTGCTTCGTTRAGAAGCTCCATGACATTATGGAAAGCGAAGCACGAGTGCTGATCGGTGCTGATGTTAACGCGCACTCGCAATTATGGCACTGCCCAAGCCGCAATGATCGGGGCAGGTGGGTAGAAGAGATGATAGAGGACCACGGTCTCCTGGTTGCCAACCGACCCTCGACACTTAAAACCTACAATCGTGAAGGTATGGGGGCATCGAACATTGATGTAACCCTTACTACACCTGCCATCTCAGGGCACGTCAATGGATGGTCAGTAGAAGATATAACGGACAGCGACCACAATGTGTTGACATATAACCTGAAATTAAGCGGAACACCGACCCCATGTAACTGGGATCGGATGTTCAATACCAATAGGGCAGACTGGGATAAGTTCAAAAGCGAACTAATGAACTGCAGACTACGGATCGAAGAGACATCCGTGCACACTTTTGCTGACTCCATCATAACCGCAGTACAGAAAGCGGCGGAGGCATCCATGCCGGTAATAAAGAAGAAAAACTCCCGATGTACGGGAAAGCAGCCTTGGTGGAATAGCACACTGGCAGACTGTAAAAGGGATCTCGACAGATCCAGGCGTGATAAGCTGAATATCACGGACAGACCGGCTTATAACAGAAAGCGTAATGCCTACCTTAGGGAGATCAGATCTTCCAAGATGGCTGCTTGGAGATTATTTGCAAATGATATAAATATTAACGCCTGGGGAAAGGCTTTCAGATGGGCCAAAAACGGTTCAAGCCGCCCAACTGTCAACCTAGTACCATGCAGAGTGCGAACGGCGACATGACCTCGAACTAGGACGACACTGCTGAACTGCTTCTAAGCACGTTCTTCCCTGCATAAATAACAAAGGTAGCCATTGCCAGGGATGGCCCTCTGCAGCCCTACGATAGGTTGGTGGACAATGAAAGGGTCAGATTGGCGATCTGGAGGATGTGCCCTTCCAAAGCCCAGGCCCAGATGGACTTACGGCGAAACTCCTTAGGAAAGCATGGCCCATTATTGGACGGGATATTACCGAGCTTTTTAGCAGATGTCTCGCTGAGGCCTCCTTTCCAAATCCATGGAAAGTGGCAAGACTAGTGGTAATCCCAAAGCCAGGGAAGAAGGACTTAGCCAGTCCAAAATCGTACAGGCCGATAAGCCTGCTACCCACCTTAGCTAAGGCACTGGAAACGTTGATCATCCAGGACCTTATAGAGGAGACAAACCTCGACGACTTCAGTCAGCAGCATGGATTCGTCTCTGGCAGATCAACCATAACGGCTATCAAAGAACTATACAACTGGACAGGGGCAAACAGACACAGATACGTCTTTGGAGCATTCCTGGACATAACGTGGGCTGGTCTCCAGTGATGTCAAGACTTGAACAGCTGGGAGCTTCGCTGAGAACACTCAGGTTGGTGCACAGTTACCTGGACAACAGGCTGGTCAGGCTAGATCTTGAAAGTTAAGCCTACACGAGGACTCTAGAAAGAGGATGCCCGCAAGGGCCACGGCTCGGGCCTACCTTATGGAAGGTCGCGATGACGGCGGTGGGCGATATACCACTAGAGGATACCGCGAAAATCATATTATACGCCGATGATATTGCAGTCCTGGTAGGGGCGGCCAGACCACCCACGGCTCATAGAAGATTAGAGGTGTATCTTKATGGACTGATGGAATGGACCAAAACATTCCGGTTGAGTTTCTCACGGGCCRAATCGCAGTTAATGTCAATTAAGGGAGGCTTGAAACCTAACCACTCGGTGGGTTTTGGTACGGGACCACATGCGCCAGTAATAAGAGCTAGCGAAACGGTTAAATACCTAGGAGTTATCCTGGACCCACGCCAGAGCTACTGGGACCACGTTGAGTCCCTCAAAGATAAAAGCAAAGACGTGTACAGGCGCTTAAGGCAGATGACGTCTGCGAACTGGGGCATGAGCCGGAATGCGGCCAAGACGATCTATCAGGCAGTCTTCCTCTCCCGTGTAACATACGCGGCAGAGATCTGGGGGAAGGCATGCCTAATGAAAAAGGCAATACAAACGCTGGGAAGTATGCAACGAGACCCGCTACTAGCTATAACAAGTGCCTATAGAACAGCATCGACAAACTGCTTGTCGGCCGTGGCGGGTGTTCTACCGCTGGACCTCGAGGTCAGAAGAGCGGCTATGGCGCGAAAGCTAAAGGAAAACGAAATACAGTCACAGGAGTACGATGATGGAGTCAGTGAACTCATAGACCAATGGCAAGCCCGATACGATGCCACCGACAAGGGTGAATGGACAAAGTACATGGTACCTAGCTTGGCCCGAATATGTCAGGTCCCTCTTGAATTGGACCACTACGTCACCCAATTCTTGACGGGACATGGTGATTTTAATAACAAGCTGCACAGCTTCAAGCTGGTGCGAAGCCCGAACTGTGCATGCGGGAACGGAGCGGAGACAGCAAGACACGTCCTGCTAGCATGTCCACGAGTTAGATCCCACAGGGAGGACCTACTCAGAGTTATGCGGGAAGAGGGCGTCCCATGGTCAGAAAGAGGCGCATTTTTGACAACATGCAAGACGTACGAGGCACTGAGAAAATTCAGCAAAAACAGCCTAATTAACAGAAGCGATAGATAGGAGCAATCTATAGGTCAGGACRCCGCCTCACCAGGAGGTGAATGGCATAGACTCGGGGTGGCCCGGGTGAGCACGCATGGCGTAAGTGGCACAAGCGGCGGGCCACGCTCGAGCGTGTCGAGCCAGTTGGGGCTAACGCCTGGGGCGTGGACGCACCGAAACCTCCGGGGATTAGGGCGTTGCAGAGGTTCTGACCATGACCTCGAGAAGAACGGGTCGCTCTCTCCGGAGAGGCCTCAGGGAGGCGGACACACCGAAACCTTCGGGGACTAGGGTGTCGGAGGTTCTGACCGCGACCTCGTGAAGAGCGGGTCGATCACCGAGCTTGGCAAACTCGGTGATGCCTCTGGGAGGCGCAGACCGGGCCCACCGTGAGCCCGCGATACTCGGCCCAAATCTCGGGAGGACTACAAGCTGAGGCAAGACGCTGACGAAGCTTCGCCCGAGCATCCCACCATTGATGTGCTTTACCTGACGGGAGGCGAGAATGGTACATCGGGATGTGGGGGAGCCCCGCRGCGYTGAGGWAATTGGCGCCGTGCCCTCACACGTCGGTCGCGCACCGGTCTCGGCCGWGGCGCGGTYGGYGGCGGATTGGTTTCGATGTGGCTGTCGCAGGAGCGACTGTGTGGTTAACAGACCAAGCTCGGTCTAGGGGAAGGTTGCCGAGTGAGATTACTCCTTAGCGCTCACCCAGCCTATCGGCGGGGCTATATGCACCGAAGGTTGCCCGTGACCAAATACGGGAAGCGATGAGGATAGCTCGCGACCCGACCGGGGTGGCGAAGGGCACGTGCACACCTTAGCCGAACGGTACGGGCGTGCTCTCTCCCGACTTCGGTGGGAACGGGAGTACGCCCGGTGCTCGTGGTCCATTGACGACGCGCGGCCGGCGGTCGGCGGGTAGCTCCGCCGCACGTCGACCGTGAACCTCCGCGGYTCTCGACTAGCGCACAGCGCTAATGTGAGGTCCGCGGTTGTAGCCGCAAGGCACCAAACCCGGGAGTCCTCGTGGCTTCATTGATTGCAATGAATCAGTTACCTATATCTTTTTGCTCGAGTCCTGGGTTTTGTCAATTCATGGCTGTTGTAGAGCCTAATTACAAAATATGCAGAGATGAAGCAATGAAAAAAAGGCTACATTCATTGAAATCAAAAGTTGAGGATAAAATAAAAAATGAATTATGAAATGTGAAAAGTGTAGTTTGTACAACTGATGGTTGGTCTTCAATGGCACAAAACTCATATATATCATTAACTGCTCATATAATAAATAACCAATGGGTATCAAAGTCATTTACTTTGGCCACACAAGAGATAGAAGAACGACATACAGCAGTAAATCTATCAGACAAATTAACATGTATATTAGATGACTGGGAAATTAATGGTAAAGTTTCAACTGTTATCACAGATAACGCAAGAAATGTGGTAAATGCAGTCAAGCTCTTACTATAGACAATAAAAATATGGATGTGACATGTGCTGCTCACAATCTACAATTAGACATTAGTACTGCACTAAAAGATGAAACATTTTCAGAATTAATAAGACAATGCAGTGCTTTAGTTGGGCATTCCAAACACTCAAATGTAGCTAAACAGTCATTATTTAAAAAACAAGAACAGTTAGGAATTCCGCATCAGTAGTCACTTGTTCAATATTGTAAGACACGATGGAACTCAATATACTTAATGATAGACCATCTTTTACAAAATAGCACCCCAATTTTAAATGTATTAACAGACAGAACAGTTACGTCTTTAAATATTGCTCAAAAATTAGAAATTACCGAATCACAATGGTTAAAAATAGAAAATCTCGTAAGTATTATTAAACCACTTTATATTGTGACTAATATATTTTGTTCAGAGCACCATTCACCAGCATCAATGGTTAGACCATTACTCGCACAATTAATAGAAAATCATTTAAAACAAAAGGAAAATGATGATCAATATGTCACGTATTTTAAACATACAATAATACACGAAATTAAAGAACGATTTAAAYTTGACTGGAATGAAACAAGTTCTGTYTCTGTCAAACAAATCGCGTCTTTTCTAGATCCTCGATATAAAGATTTAGAGTTTGAACCGATTGGTGCAAGAGAAAAAATTCGAAAGTTTGTAAAGGATTTAGTTGAAAGATTTAGAACCCAAAGCATTAATTTGGAACAAGAACAACCAGTTCAAAGGAGCGATCTTGAATTTTTGTATGGAAGTAAAATAACAGACAATAATGACATAATCATTCAATTTCAAAATTATATAGCTGAACCTCAATTACGATTCGATCTAAATTTATTTGAATGGTGGAAATGTAGAGAGAATAAATATCCAGCTCTTGCAGAATATATTTGACTATTCCTGCCACGTCCGGTGCATACTACTTGCGTCCGAAATAATTAACACTAGGTAAGTTGCGTCCCCCAAAAAAAGGTTCAAAAAGGGTCATAGCCTATTTGCGTCCCGGTATACCTTTTTAGACAGCCTAGATGCGTCCATAGCCTATTACAAACTAATGAGTA